CTCTTCCACTGTTAATCCCTTCCAGGGTTGATTCTTTGCCCTCTCCTTTTCTTAATCTACATAGGCTCCCAGGTCATCTTGTTTATCCCTATAGTTTCTATTGCCCCACATTTTCTAACTCCAAAAGACCACTCTTCTGAGCTCCCAACCCACATATCAGCTGCTATATGTCAACTACTCCTTCCTCTTAACCATGCCTAAACCTGTCTCTACCCATATTCCCTTCATGAATTAAAGCAAACAAGCCAGAAACTTGGGGGTTATCCCTCCCATCTCTCTTATCCACCCCATAGCATACATTAAATTAAACACCAAGCGCTATCATTCTACAACCTTAATATCTCGAAACTGTCCTCTTTGCTCCAACACAGCAGATACCACTTTGTTCAGACCACCTAATGTGTCTCAGTCTAATTACTGAAACAATTTCCTAAACTGGTCTCTCTGCTTCAAACTGTGATCCCATCAAATCAGGGTGTCTCAACCTTGGCACTAATTATATTTTGAGCTGGATAATTCTTTGTTGTAGGAGGCTGTCTTGTGCATTGTAGGAGGTTTAGCATCCCTGACTTCTATCCAGTAGATGCCAGTAGCACCCTTGCCCCAACATGACAATCTAAAATGACCCCAGTAATTACCAAATGTCCCCTGGTGGGCAAAATCACTCCCAGTTGAGAACCACTGCTTTAACCCCCTTCTGCACAGTACAGTCTGATGAATTATTTTTCTAAAATGCAAATAAATCCATCATTCTCTGGCTTAAAGTCCTACAATGGCTTTCTACTATCCCAGGAAAAAAATCCAAACCCCTTAGTTTAGCTTATAAGGCTCCGCATGGTCTGGCCCCTGCTAACTCTGTCTTCCACTCTGGATCAATCCAACTCAGCTAAGGCCACTGAAGAAAATGACATGCCCACCCCAGTGGTGCTGTTACAAAATCCTGTGTGCTCTGCCTCTTGACTATGATTCCAGCCTCTTCTTTCACCATTCATCCTGATTTCTGTTCCATTGGAAATTCTCTTAAGTTTCTATGTTCCCTCTTGTGTTCAAACTTTGGGTCACATTGCTCCTGATGCTTGGGATGCCCTTCCCCTATTCTACTTGTGTCTAGATTAAATGATGCCTACTTCAGGAAGTGCTCCCCAACACTTCCCCCTCCACCACACACACCCTCCTTCTGTCGGCAGGGGTGGATGACTGCCCTCACCATGTTCTGTGCCCACCTTGTATGTCTGTGTTGCAATGGTCTGGCTCCTTGTCTAAGCCGTGGTCCTGTACACTGTTATATCCTAAGTGCCTAGAATCGTGCCTGTCACAAAGCAGGTGTGAAAATATATTTGTTGGAAGAAGGAGGGAAAGTAAGAGAGGCCTGGGCAATGTGAAAACCAATGCCAGATGGACTCACGTGGGCCTGACTACCTATACGGTGACTCATAGGTTATGTGACAGTGAGATCAACTAAGTTATTTCAGTTCTTCAGAGATGTCAAAATGACAGGCCGCCCTTACAATGAGACTCAGTACATTGTACTGTCATGACAGGTGGCAGGTTGATTTACCATCACAGAATTCTACAGGCTGACATTACATAAAAATCACGAAGGACATCACCAGAGTAAAACTGTTTCCACTGAAATTCTTAGTATAAAATGTTTTGGGGATTCACTGGTACATTTTCACTGCTAGGATTTAACTGAGGACTCAAATTATGAGGGAGACAAATATGAACTTCGCTTCAGGGCCTGATTAAGAATGATGAATTAAGTTTTCATCAGATTATTTTAGGAAAACATACTTTATTCATGGAGAGAATAAAATCAAGGGGGACAGAGGCTTCCATTTTCTTCTATAAGAGAATCGTCTAAACAAGAACTAAATAAAATCTTCTAAAGTCAGTTAAACTTAGTTATTGTCAGGAACAAATGTTGGTTTGGTCCACAGACTCAAGACTATAAAGAATCCAAGCTGA